AATCAGTGTTCTTTGAATGAGATAACTCTTCGATTCCGAATTCCATGTTATTTCCTGACTACGGATGTACCAAAGATGTATCGTCAAGTGTTGATAAGGTACACAGATGTCTTCATCGAGTATTCTTCAGATTGGATCCGTCGCGTCCACTTCGTGTGCTGGAGTTAAAAACCGTAAGCTATGGCACTGCTTCAGCACCTTTCCTAGCAACAAGAGTATTACTACAGGTAGCACTCGATGAAGGGCACAATTTTCCATTGGCAGCCAAAATTGTCAAGAACTGTTTTTATGTAGATAATGTCGCAGAAGCACAGTCGCAGCTCATCCATCTCTTGGAGGCAGGTGGATTTCATTTGCACAAGTGGGCTTCAAACTGTCCAGATCTAGTCGAGCATATACCAGAAGTTGATCGTGAAGAATTGGTGAACATTAAAAGGAACTGGAGTGAACGAAGTGATCAAAACACTTGGTCTGCTGTGGAACCCGTCCTCGGATGAACTGATCTTCGTTGCAAAGCCATTTCCTGAGATAACAAAGCCGACGAAGCGCCAAGTACTGTCGTTAGTTGCAAGTATGTTCGACCCTCTGGGGTTAGCTGCACCGGTGATTGTCGTTGGGAAGATGCTGTTGAAGAACGTTTGGAGTGAGAAGATCGATTAGGACGAAGAATTAAACAGTGAATTGGTTAAAAATTGGGAATACTTCTTGAAGTGCTTAAGTGGTGTGAAGAAGATCCGAATCCCTCGTCGAGTGGTGTCATCTGATGCTACTGCCTTTGAGATCAATGGGTTCGGAGATGCGTCCTTGGAAGCTTACGGAGCATGCGTTTACATAAGATCATTTGTTCTTGGAAAGTCCCATGAGGTGAAGATTTTGACTGCAAAGTTGAAGATAGTGCCGAAGCCAGTACTGACGGTTCCACGAAAAGAACTCTTGGCAGCTGTGTTGTTGCATCGTCTAGTGAAGAAAGTGTTGGAAACTTTGAAACTACCCTTCCGGAAAATAGTGTTGAGTTTAGAAAGCCAAATCGTGTTAGCCTGGCTGAAGAAAAATCTCGAACAGCTGGAAGTGTTTGTAAGAAATAGAGTTGGTGAGATTACTTCTAGCGGAAATTATTTTTCGTGGAAGTATGTGAACACTGCAGAAAATCCTGCTGATATAGTGTCCCGTGGGCTTTCTGCCGAAATTTTGGCCACAAGTGATCTGTGGTGGAACGGACCAATGTTTTTGAGAAGTGAAGAATGCCAAATGGATGTTCCTGAACCGTTGCCAGATGAAGATATTCCCGAACTCAAGACCACGGTTTTCGTCAATACCACAGTGGAACTTGAACTGTTACCTGTGTTTACAAGAAAGAAAGAATTAAGGAGAAGCGTGTGCTATCGACATTTCCAATTATACCTGAGATGCAAGATGCAATGAAGGTAATAGTATTTGTGGTACAGCGTCAAGAGTTTGCAGAAGAGATCGTGAGAATGAAATCAGGTGAGTCCTCCAAGAAGCTTAAATCCTTGAACCCCTTTTTTGATGGTGAGCTATTGCGAGCTGGTGGTCGTCTGCGCCATTCGCAATTACCGTACCTGAGCAAGCATCAGTGGATCTTGCCAAATAGAAGCCCCGTGGTTCAAAGTTATATGCGGTGCATCCACCGCGAGAATCTGCACATCGGACCAACTGCTTTGCTAGCAACCCTGCGAAGACAATATAAGATTATTAATGGACGATCTACGGTACTTAAAATTACGCGTGATTACGTTAAATGCTTCAAGGTTAATCCCACTGCTGCAGAAAAATTCATGGGAGACCTTCCGTCTGTGCGCTCCAGCATTCCAACAGGTGGGGTTGGAGCCGGCCCTTTTTTAATCAAGCAAACCAGTAGAAAGGCTGCTCCGGTAAAGGGATATGATAGAGCACCAACTCAATTTTGAAAAGGATTTATGACACTGCTTCACTCAACTTGATGGAGTTTTCGACGCTGCTTTGTCAAATCAAGGCCTTGCTGAATTCACGGTCTCTGTATGCACATTCGGAAGATGCTACAGACCCCGAACCACTGACTCCTGGTCACTTTAAGATCGGTCGTCCTTTAACGGCAATACCGGAGCCAACGTACGAGGAGATCCCAATCAACAGGCTGTCGCGATGGCAGTACGTGCAGGTACTTCGAAACAATTTCTGGAAACGTTGGTATCGTGAGTATCTAATGGAACTACAGGTAAGAAGTAAGTGGACCAAGAAATTCTCCAACATTCGCCCTGGGATGGTGGTAATCGTAAAGGAGGATAACTTACCATCTCACGTTTGGAAGCTGGGAGTAATCCATAAGGTTTATTCTGGAACGGATGGATTTATTCGAGTTGCTGATATCCGGACCAGGTGTGAAGCGTCCTATACACAAACTTGCACCGCTCCCAGTCTTGGATAATTCTTCATCTTGAGTCAACGCCTGGGGGAGGATGTTCGGGCTGTGTCATGACAGCTCGAAGAAAAATTTTGATTTGAGCTTTTTATGTGACCGGCCTACCATGATCAATTTGGCAACAAATTGAAAGCACCGAAGGAGACGAGAAGCAATGAGCTGGATGCGTTCATTGCTGCACTGCACAGATTCGTATCCCAAAGGGGTGTTCCAGAGGAGTTGTTTTCTGCAACGGAACCAATTTTGTGGGCGCCAAGAGGGAATTGCATGAGTTGTCCAACCTGTTCAAGGAGCAAATAACAAAAAGGAAGATCATCTTGAGTCAACGCCTGGGGGAGGATGTTCGAAAACGCGACACGGGTGGCTTTTTTGATTTTCATCGATGACATCCACCACTGCTGTAAGAAGTAGCACTGGCAACTGGCGGATGTTGCTTCTTCTGGTGGCTTCGGCGGTGGTTCTTCTGTCTTCTGCGGTTGGACCTCACACGCCGCGCAGAATAGGCTTAAATAAATAAGAGCCGTGATTGCCGTGAAAATCAAATGGAAATCACTTCACCGTGACGTGACGACAAGTGACAAGTTTTCACCGTGAAGTGACATCCGTAATAAGCCTCCAAGCCATCGACCCAACCGCATAAGACAGAAGAACCACCGCCGAAGCCACCAGAAGAAGCAACATCCGCGAGTTGCCAGTGCTACTTCTTACAGCAGTGGTGGATGTCATCGATGAAAATCAAAAAAGCCACCCGTGTCGCGTTTTATTGGACAGTGTGTCACAAGTTAAATTGATTTGCAAGCCAATGATAGAGTTCCTGGGTTTGAAGCGGTTTCCTTCCAACGTCGTCGTTGCAGAAGTGAACACGAAGAGCCATGCGTCAAGCAGTTGCGTGGTGTAGATTCGTTCAAGGTATTCTGGTTTCAATGGCAACGTGAAGTGTTTGGTGACTGAAAGAGTAACGGCGGATTTGCCATCTTCCACGGTGAATGTATGTTCATGGGATGATCCAATGTTCTACGAGACTGGAAAGGTAGATATGTTGCTCAGAAATCAGCTGTTTTTAAAATTGCTACTGCCAGGAGAAATGCATTTGGCTGATCATCTCCCAAGTCTGCGAGAAACCCAACTGGGCTGGGTGGTTGGTGGGGTTTGTAATGACACAATGTCCGATGCAGTGGTCCATTCACATTCACTTACGCTTGAGGAGTTGGATCGAACTGTCAAGAGGTTCTGGGAAATTGAAGAAGTTGCAAGTGTGGAACCATCCTCGGAAGCTATAGAGTGTGAGCAACATTTTCAAGAAACACACCGTCGTAACGAAACTGGGAGGTACGTCGTCCAATTGCCTCTCAATGAGAATGTCAGTAAGTTAAGAAGTTCCCGTTCACTGGCTTTCAAGAGGTTTCACATCGTGGAGAGACGGTTTGCACAAGATCCGAATTAGAAGCAACAATACATCGAGTTCATGACTGAGTACGAGCAGCTTGGTCACTGTGAAGAAATTAACGAGAGTGAAGAAGTTAAGTATGGTGCGTGGTACCTACCTACACCACCTACTGCGTCCGTCGAATACTACTACCAAGTGATGCATCGGCAAAGGTTGAATGATGTCATGAAGATAGGATCGCTTAATCAGTGTTCTTTGAATGAGATAACTCTTCGATTCCGAATTCCATGTTATTTCCTGACTACGGATGTACCAAAGATGTATCGTCAAGTGTTGATAAGGTACACAGATGTCTTCATCGAGTATTCTTCAGATTGGATCCGTCGCGTCCACTTCGTGTGCTGGAGTTAAAAACCGTAAGCTATGGCACTGCTTCAGCACCTTTCCTAGCAACAAGAGTATTACTATAGGTAGCACTCGATGAAGGGCACAATTTTCCATTGGCAGCCAAAATTGTAGATAATGTTGCAGAAGCACAGTCGCAGCTCATCCATCTCTTGGAGGCAGGTGGATTTCATTTGCACAAGTGGGCTTCAAACTGTCCAGATCTAGTCGAGCATATACCGGAAGTTGATCGTGAAGAATTGGTGAACATTGAAGGAACTGGAGTGAACGAAGTGATCAAAACGCTTGGTCTGCTGTGGAACCTGTCCTCGGATGAACTGATCTTCGTTGCAAAGCCATTTCCTGAGATAACAAAGCCGACGAAGCGCCAAGTACTGTCGTTAGTTGCAAGTATGTTCGACCCTCTGGGGTTAGCTGCACCGGTGATTGTCGTTGGGAAGATGCTGTTGAAGAACGTTTGGAGTGAGAAGATCGATTAGGACGAAGAATTAAACAGTGAATTGGTTAAAAATTGGGAATACTTCTTGAAGTGCTTAAGTGGTGTGAAGAAGATCCGAATCCCTCGTCGAGTGGTGTCATCTGATGCTACTGCCTTTGAGATCAATGGGTTCGGAGATGCGTCCTTGGAAGCTTACGGAGCATGCGTTTACATAAGATCATTTGTTCTTGGAAAGTCCCATGAGGTGAAGATTTTGACTGCAAAGTTGAAGATAGTGCCGAAGCTAGTACTGACGGTTCCACGAAAAGAACTCTTGGCAGCTGTGTTGTTGCATCGTCTAGTGAAGAAAGTGTTGGAAACTTTGAAACTACCCTTCCGGAAAATAGTGTTGAGTTTAGAAAGCCAAATCGTGTTAGCCTGGCTGAAGAAAAATCTCGAACAGCTGGAAGTGTTTGTAAGAAATAGAGTTGGTGAGATTACTTCTAGCGGAAATTATTTTTCGTGGAAGTATGTGAACACTGCAGAAAATCCTGCTGATATAGTGTCCCGTGGGCTTTCTGCCGAAATTTTGGCCACAAGTGATCTGTGGTGGAACGGACCAATGTTTTTGAGAAGTGAAGAATGCCAAATGGATGTTCCTGAACCGTTGCCAGATGAAGATATTCCCGAACTCAAGACCACGGTTTTCGTCAATACCACAGTGGAACTTGAACTGTTACCTGTGTTTACAAGAAAGAAAGAATTAAGGAGAAGCGTGTGCTATCGACATTTCCAATTATACCTGAGATGCAAGATGCAATGAAGGTAATAGTATTTGTGGTACAGCGTCAAGAGTTTGCAGAAGAGATCGTGAGAATGAAATCAGGTGAGTCCTCCAAGAAGCTTAAATCCTTGAACCCCTTTTTTGATGGTGAGCTATTGCGAGCTGGTGGTCGTCTGCGCCATTCGCAATTACCGTACCTGAGCAAGCATCAGTGGATCTTGCCAAATAGAAGCCCCGTGGTTCAAAGTTATATGCGGTGCATCCACCGCGAGAATCTGCACATCGGACCAACTGCTTTGCTAGCAACCCTGCGAAGACAATATAAGATTATTAATGGACGATCTACGGTACTTAAAATTACGCGTGATTACGTTAAATGCTTCAAGGTTAATCCCACTGCTGCAGAAAAATTCATGGGAGACCTTCCGTCTGTGCGCTCCAGCATTCCAACAGGTGGGGTTGGAACCGGCCCTTTTTTAATCAAGCAAACCAGTAGAAAGGCTGCTCCGGTAAAGGGATATGATAGAGCACCAACTCAATTTTGAAAAGGATTTATGACACTGCTTCACTCAACTTGATGGAGTTTTCGACGCTGCTTTGTCAAATCAAGGCCTTGCTGAATTCACGGTCTCTGTATGCACATTCGGAAGATGCTACAGACCCCGAACCACTGACTCCTGGTCACTTTAAGATCGGTCGTCCTTTAACGGCAATACCGGAGCCAACGTACGAGGAGATCCCAATCAACAGGCTGTCGCGATGGCAGTACGTGCAGGTACTTCGAAACAATTTCTGGAAACGTTGGTATCGTGAGTATCTAATGGAACTACAGGTAAGAAGTAAGTGGACCAAGAAATTCTCCAACATTCGCCCTGGGATGGTGGTAATCGTAAAGGAGGATAACTTACCATCTCACGTTTGGAAGCTGGGAGTAATCCATAAGGTTTATTCTGGAACGGATGGATTTATTCGAGTTGCTGATATCCGGACCAGGTGTGAAGCGTCCTATACACAAACTTGCACCGCTCCCAGTCTTGGATAATTCTTCATCTTGAGTCAACGCCTGGGGGAGGATGTTCGGACTGTGTCATGACAGCTCGAAGAAAAATTTTGATTTGAGCTTTTTATGTGACCGGCCTACCATGATCAATTTGGCAACAAATTGAAAGCACCGAAGGAGAAGAGAAGCAATGAGCTGGATGCGTTCATTGCTGCACTGCACAGATTCGTATCCCAAAGGGGTGTTCCAGAGGAGTTGTTTTCTGCAACGGAACCAATTTTGTGGGCGCCAAGAGGGAATTGCATGAGTTGTCCAACCTGTTCAAGGAGCAAATAACAAAAAGGAAGATCATCTTGAGTCAACGCCTGGGGGAGGATGTTCGAAAACGCGACACGGGTGGCTTTTTTGATTTTCATCGATGACATCCACCACTGCTGTAAGAAGTAGCACTGGCAACTGGCGGATGTTGCTTCTTCTGGTGGCTTCGGCGGTGGTTCTTCTGTCTTCTGCGGTTGGACCTCACACGCCGCGCAGAATAGGCTTAAATAAGAGCCGTGATTGCCGTGAAAATCAAATGGAAATCACTTCACCGTGACGTGACGACAAGTGACAAGTTTTCACCGTGAAGTGACATCCGTAATAAGCCTCCAAGCCATCGACCCAACCGCATAAGACAGAAGAACCACCGCCGAAGCCACCAGAAGAAGCAACATCCGCGAGTTGCCAGTGCTACTTCTTACAGCAGTGGTGGATGTCATCGATGAAAATCAAAAAAGCCACCCGTGTCGCGTTTTATTGGACAGTGTGTCACAAGTTAAATTGATTTGCAAGCCAATGATAGAGTTCCTGGGTTTGAAGCGGTTTCCTTCCAACGTCGTCGTTGCAGAAGTGAACACGAAGAGCCATGCGTCAAGCAGTTGCGTGGTGTAGATTCGTTCAAGGTATTCTGGTTTCAATGGCAACGTGAAGTGTTTGGTGACTGAAAGAGTAACGGCGGATTTGCCATCTTCCACGGTGAATGTATGTCCATGGGATGATCCAATGTTCTACGAGACTGGAAAGGTAGATATGTTGCTCAGAAATCAGCTGTTTTTAAAATTGCTACTGCCAGGAGAAATGCATTTGGCTGATCATCTCCCAAGTCTGCGAGAAACCCAACTGGGCTGGGTGGTTGGTGGGGTTTGTAATGACACAATGTCCGATGCAGTGGTCCATTCACATTCACTTACGCTTGAGGAGTTGGATCGAACTGTCAAGAGGTTCTGGGAAATTGAAGAAGTTGCAAGTGTGGAACCATCCTCGGAAGCTATAGAGTGTGAGCAACATTTTCAAGAAACACACCGTCGTAACGAAACTGGGAGGTACGTCGTCCAATTGCCTCTCAATGAGAATGTCAGTAAGTTAAGAAGTTCCCGTTCACTGGCTTTCAAGAGGTTTCACATCGTGGAGAGACGGTTTGCACAAGATCCGAATTAGAAGCAACAATACATCGAGTTCATGACTGAGTACGAGCAGCTTGGTCACTGTGAAGAAATTAACGAGAGTGAAGAAGTTAAGTATGGTGCGTGGTACCTACCTACACCACCTACTGCGTCCGTCGAATACTACTACCAAGTGGTGCATCGGCAAAGGTTGAATGATGTCATGAAGATAGGATCGCTTAATCAGTGTTCTTTGAATGAGATAACTCTTCGATTCCGAATTCCATGTTATTTCCTGACTACGGATGTACCAAAGATGTATCGTCAAGTGTTGATAAGGTACACAGATGTCTTCATCGAGTATTCTTCAGATTGGATCCGTCGCGTCCACTTCGTGTGCTGGAGTTAAAAACCGTAAGCTATGGCACTGCTTCAGCACCTTTCCTAGCAACAAGAGTATTACTACAGGTAGCACTCGATGAAGGGCACAATTTTCCATTGGCAGCCAAAATTGTCAAGAACTGTTTTTATGTAGATAATGTCGCAGAAGCACAGTCGCAGCTCATCCATCTCTTGGAGGCAGGTGGATTTCATTTGCACAAGTGGGCTTCAAACTGTCCAGATCTAGTCGAGCATATACCAGAAGTTGATCGTGAAGAATTGGTGAACATTAAAAGGAACTGGAGTGAACGAAGTGATCAAAACACTTGGTCTGCTGTGGAACCCGTCCTCGGATGAACTGATCTTCGTTGCAAAGCCATTTCCTGAGATAACAAAGCCGACGAAGCGCCAAGTACTGTCGTTAGTTGCAAGTATGTTCGACCCTCTGGGGTTAGCTGCACCGGTGATTGTCGTTGGGAAGATGCTGTTGAAGAACGTTTGGAGTGAGAAGATCGATTAGGACGAAGAATTAAACAGTGAATTGGTTAAAAATTGGGAATACTTCTTGAAGTGCTTAAGTGGTGTGAAGAAGATCCGAATCCCTCGTCGAGTGGTGTCATCTGATGCTACTGCCTTTGAGATCAATGGGTTCGGAGATGCGTCCTTGGAAGCTTACGGAGCATGCGTTTACATAAGATCATTTGTTCTTGGAAAGTCCCATGAGGTGAAGATTTTGACTGCAAAGTTGAAGATAGTGCCGAAGCCAGTACTGACGGTTCCACGAAAAGAACTCTTGGCAGCTGTGTTGTTGCATCGTCTAGTGAAGAAAGTGTTGGAAACTTTGAAACTACCCTTCCGGAAAATAGTGTTGAGTTTAGAAAGCCAAATCGTGTTAGCCTGGCTGAAGAAAAATCTCGAACAGCTGGAAGTGTTTGTAAGAAATAGAGTTGGTGAGATTACTTCTAGCGGAAATTATTTTTCGTGGAAGTATGTGAACACTGCAGAAAATCCTGCTGATATAGTGTCCCGTGGGCTTTCTGCCGAAATTTTGGCCACAAGTGATCTGTGGTGGAACGGACCAATGTTTTTGAGAAGTGAAGAATGCCAAATGGATGTTCCTGAACCGTTGCCAGATGAAGATATTCCCGAACTCAAGACCACGGTTTTCGTCAATACCACAGTGGAACTTGAACTGTTACCTGTGTTTACAAGAAAGAAAGAATTAAGGAGAAGCGTGTGCTATCGACATTTCCAATTATACCTGAGATGCAAGATGCAATGAAGGTAATAGTATTTGTGGTACAGCGTCAAGAGTTTGCAGAAGAGATCGTGAGAATGAAATCAGGTGAGTCCTCCAAGAAGCTTAAATCCTTGAACCCCTTTTTTGATGGTGAGCTATTGCGAGCTGGTGGTCGTCTGCGCCATTCGCAATTACCGTACCTGAGCAAGCATCAGTGGATCTTGCCAAATAGAAGCCCCGTGGTTCAAAGTTATATGCGGTGCATCCACCGCGAGAATCTGCACATCGGACCAACTGCTTTGCTAGCAACCCTGCGAAGACAATATAAGATTATTAATGGACGATCTACGGTACTTAAAATTACGCGTGATTACGTTAAATGCTTCAAGGTTAATCCCACTGCTGCAGAAAAATTCATGGGAGACCTTCCGTCTGTGCGCTCCAGCATTCCAACAGGTGGGGTTGGAGCCGGCCCTTTTTTAATCAAGCAAACCAGTAGAAAGGCTGCTCCGGTAAAGGGATATGATAGAGCACCAACTCAATTTTGAAAAGGATTTATGACACTGCTTCACTCAACTTGATGGAGTTTTCGACGCTGCTTTGTCAAATCAAGGCCTTGCTGAATTCACGGTCTCTGTATGCACATTCGGAAGATGCTACAGACCCCGAACCACTGACTCCTGGTCACTTTAAGATCGGTCGTCCTTTAACGGCAATACCGGAGCCAACGTACGAGGAGATCCCAATCAACAGGCTGTCGCGATGGCAGTACGTGCAGGTACTTCGAAACAATTTCTGGAAACGTTGGTATCGTGAGTATCTAATGGAACTACAGGTAAGAAGTAAGTGGACCAAGAAATTCTCCAACATTCGCCCTGGGATGGTGGTAATCGTAAAGGAGGATAACTTACCATCTCACGTTTGGAAGCTGGGAGTAATCCATAAGGTTTATTCTGGAACGGATGGATTTATTCGAGTTGCTGATATCCGGACCAGGTGTGAAGCGTCCTATACACAAACTTGCACCGCTCCCAGTCTTGGATAATTCTTCATCTTGAGTCAACGCCTGGGGGAGGATGTTCGGACTGTGTCATGACAGCTCGAAGAAAAATTTTGATTTGAGCTTTTTATGTGACCGGCCTACCATGATCAATTTGGCAACAAATTGAAAGCACCGAAGGAGAAGAGAAGCAATGAGCTGGATGCGTTCATTGCTGCACTGCACAGATTCGTATCCCAAAGGGGTGTTCCAGAGGAGTTGTTTTCTGCAACGGAACCAATTTTGTGGGCGCCAAGAGGGAATTGCATGAGTTGTCCAACCTGTTCAAGGAGCAAATAACAAAAAGGAAGATCATCTTGAGTCAACGCCTGGGGGAGGATGTTCGAAAACGCGACACGGGTGGCTTTTTTGATTTTCATCGATGACATCCACCACTGCTGTAAGAAGTAGCACTGGCAACTGGCGGATGTTGCTTCTTCTGGTGGCTTCGGCGGTGGTTCTTCTGTCTTCTGCGGTTGGACCTCACACGCCGCGCAGAATAGGCTTAAATAAGAGCCGTGATTGCCGTGAAAATCAAATGGAAATCACTTCACCGTGACGTGACGACAAGTGACAAGTTTTCACCGTGAAGTGACATCCGTAATAAGCCTCCAAGCCATCGACCCAACCGCATAAGACAGAAGAACCACCGCCGAAGCCACCAGAAGAAGCAACATCCGCGAGTTGCCAGTGCTACTTCTTACAGCAGTGGTGGATGTCATCGATGAAAATCAAAAAAGCCACCCGTGTCGCGTTTTATTGGACAGTGTGTCACAAGTTAAATTGATTTGCAAGCCAATGATAGAGTTCCTGGGTTTGAAGCGGTTTCCTTCCAACGTCGTCGTTGCAGAAGTGAACACGAAGAGCCATGCGTCAAGCAGTTGCGTGGTGTAGATTCGTTCAAGGTATTCTGGTTTCAATGGCAACGTGAAGTGTTTGGTGACTGAAAGAGTAACGGCGGATTTGCCATCTTCCACGGTGAATGTATGTCCATGGGATGATCCAATGTTCTACGAGACTGGAAAGGTAGATATGTTGCTCAGAAATCAGCTGTTTTTAAAATTGCTACTGCCAGGAGAAATGCATTTGGCTGATCATCTCCCAAGTCTGCGAGAAACCCAACTGGGCTGGGTGGTTGGTGGGGTTTGTAATGACACAATGTCCGATGCAGTGGTCCATTCACATTCACTTACGCTTGAGGAGTTGGATCGAACTGTCAAGAGGTTCTGGGAAATTGAAGAAGTTGCAAGTGTGGAACCATCCTCGGAAGCTATAGAGTGTGAGCAACATTTTCAAGAAACACACCGTCGTAACGAAACTGGGAGGTACGTCGTCCAATTGCCTCTCAATGAGAATGTCAGTAAGTTAAGAAGTTCCCGTTCACTGGCTTTCAAGAGGTTTCACATCGTGGAGAGACGGTTTGCACAAGATCCGAATTAGAAGCAACAATACATCGAGTTCATGACTGAGTACGAGCAGCTTGGTCACTGTGAAGAAATTAACGAGAGTGAAGAAGTTAAGTATGGTGCGTGGTACCTACCTACACCACCTACTGCGTCCGTCGAATACTACTACCAAGTGGTGCATCGGCAAAGGTTGAATGATGTCATGAAGATAGGATCGCTTAATCAGTGTTCTTTGAATGAGATAACTCTTCGATTCCGAATTCCATGTTATTTCCTGACTACGGATGTACCAAAGATGTATCGTCAAGTGTTGATAAGGTACACAGATGTCTTCATCGAGTATTCTTCAGATTGGATCCGTCGCGTCCACTTCGTGTGCTGGAGTTAAAAACCGTAAGCTATGGCACTGCTTCAGCACCTTTCCTAGCAACAAGAGTATTACTACAGGTAGCACTCGATGAAGGGCACAATTTTCCATTGGCAGCCAAAATTGTCAAGAACTGTTTTTATGTAGATAATGTCGCAGAAGCACAGTCGCAGCTCATCCATCTCTTGGAGGCAGGTGGATTTCATTTGCACAAGTGGGCTTCAAACTGTCCAGATCTAGTCGAGCATATACCAGAAGTTGATCGTGAAGAATTGGTGAACATTAAAAGGAACTGGAGTGAACGAAGTGATCAAAACACTTGGTCTGCTGTGGAACCCGTCCTCGGATGAACTGATCTTCGTTGCAAAGCCATTTCCTGAGATAACAAAGCCGACGAAGCGCCAAGTACTGTCGTTAGTTGCAAGTATGTTCGACCCTCTGGGGTTAGCTGCACCGGTGATTGTCGTTGGGAAGATGCTGTTGAAGAACGTTTGGAGTGAGAAGATCGATTAGGACGAAGAATTAAACAGTGAATTGGTTAAAAATTGGGAATACTTCTTGAAGTGCTTAAGTGGTGTGAAGAAGATCCGAATCCCTCGTCGAGTGGTGTCATCTGATGCTACTGCCTTTGAGATCAATGGGTTCGGAGATGCGTCCTTGGAAGCTTACGGAGCATGCGTTTACATAAGATCATTTGTTCTTGGAAAGTCCCATGAGGTGAAGATTTTGACTGCAAAGTTGAAGATAGTGCCGAAGCCAGTACTGACGGTTCCACGAAAAGAACTCTTGGCAGCTGTGTTGTTGCATCGTCTAGTGAAGAAAGTGTTGGAAACTTTGAAACTACCCTTCCGGAAAATAGTGTTGAGTTTAGAAAGCCAAATCGTGTTAGCCTGGCTGAAGAAAAATCTCGAACAGCTGGAAGTGTTTGTAAGAAATAGAGTTGGTGAGATTACTTCTAGCGGAAATTATTTTTCGTGGAAGTATGTGAACACTGCAGAAAATCCTGCTGATATAGTGTCCCGTGGGCTTTCTGCCGAAATTTTGGCCACAAGTGATCTGTGGTGGAACGGACCAATGTTTTTGAGAAGTGAAGAATGCCAAATGGATGTTCCTGAACCGTTGCCAGATGAAGATATTCCCGAACTCAAGACCACGGTTTTCGTCAATACCACAGTGGAACTTGAACTGTTACCTGTGTTTACAAGAAAGAAAGAATTAAGGAGAAGCGTGTGCTATCGACATTTCCAATTATACCTGAGATGCAAGATGCAATGAAGGTAATAGTATTTGTGGTACAGCGTCAAGAGTTTGCAGAAGAGATCGTGAGAATGAAATCAGGTGAGTCCTCCAAGAAGCTTAAATCCTTGAACCCCTTTTTTGATGGTGAGCTATTGCGAGCTGGTGGTCGTCTGCGCCATTCGCAATTACCGTACCTGAGCAAGCATCAGTGGATCTTGCCAAATAGAAGCCCCGTGGTTCAAAGTTATATGCGGTGCATCCACCGCGAGAATCTGCACATCGGACCAACTGCTTTGCTAGCAACCCTGCGAAGACAATATAAGATTATTAATGGACGATCTACGGTACTTAAAATTACGCGTGATTACGTTAAATGCTTCAAGGTTAATCCCACTGCTGCAGAAAAATTCATGGGAGACCTTCCGTCTGTGCGCTCCAGCATTCCAACAGGTGGGGTTGGAGCCGGCCCTTTTTTAATCAAGCAAACCAGTAGAAAGGCTGCTCCGGTAAAGGGTATGATAGAGCACCAACTCAATTTTGAAAAGGATTTATGACACTGCTTCACTCAACTTGATGGAGTTTTCGACGCTGCTTTGTCAAATCAAGGCCTTGCTGAATTCACGGTCTCTGTATGCACATTCGGAAGATGCTACAGACCCCGAACCACTGACTCCTGGTCACTTTAAGATCGGTCGTCCTTTAACGGCAATACCGGAGCCAACGTACGAGGAGATCCCAATCAACAGGCTGTCGCGATGGCAGTACGTGCAGGTACTTCGAAACAATTTCTGGAAACGTTGGTATCGTGAGTATCTAATGGAACTACAGGTAAGAAGTAAGTGGACCAAGAAATTCTCCAACATTCGCCCTGGGATGGTGGTAATCGTAAAGGAGGATAACTTACCATCTCACGTTTGGAAGCTGGGAGTAATCCATAAGGTTTATTCTGGAACGGATGGATTTATTCGAGTTGCTGATATCCGGACCAGGTGTGAAGCGTCCTATACACAAACTTGCACCGCTCCCAGTCTTGGATAATTCTTCATCTTGAGTCAACGCCTGGGGGAGGATGTTCGGGCTGTGTCATGACAGCTCGAAGAAAAATTTTGATTTGAGCTTTTTATGTGACCGGCCTACCATGATCAATTTGGCAACAAATTGAAAGCACCGAAGGAGAAGAGAAGCAATGAGCTGGATGCGTTCATTGCTGCACTGCACAGATTCGTATCCCAAAGGGGTGTTCCAGAGGAGTTGTTTTCTGCAACGGAACCAATTTTGTGGGCGCCAAGAGGGAATTGCATGAGTTGTCCAACCTGTTCAAGGAGCAAATAACAAAAAGGAAGATCATCTTGAGTCAACGCCTGGGGGAGGATGTTGAAAACGCGACACGGGTGGCTTTTTTGATTTTCATCGATGACATCCACCACTGCTGTAAGAAGTAGCACTGGCAACTGGCGGATGTTGCTTCTTCTGGTGGCTTCGGCGGTGGTTCTTCTGTCTTCTGCGGTTGGACCTCACACGCCGCGCAGAATAGGCTTAAATAAATAAGAGCCGTGATTGCCGTGAAAATCAAATGGAAATCACTTCACCGTGACGTGACGACAAGTGACAAGTTTTCACCGTGAAGTGACATCCGTAATAAGCCTCCAAGCCATCGACCCAACCGCATAAGACAGAAGAACCACCGCCGAAGCCACCAGAAGAAGCAACATCCGCGAGTTGCCAGTGCTACTTCTTACAGCAGTGGTGGATGTCATCGATGAAAATCAAAAAAGCCACCCGGGTCGCGTTTTATTGGACAGTGTGTCACAAGTTAAATTGATTTGCAAGCCAATGATAGAGTTCCTGGGTTTGAAGCGGTTTCCTTCCAACGTCGTCGTTGCAGAAGTGAACACGAAGAGCCATGCGTCAAGCAGTTGCGTGGTGTAGATTCGTTCAAGGTATTCTGGTTTCAATGGCAACGTGAAGTGTTTGGTGACTGAAAGAGTAACGGCGGATTTGCCATCTTCCACGGTGAATGTATGTCCATGGGATGATCCAATGTTCTACGAGACTGGAAAGGTAGATATGTTGCTCAGAAATCAGCTGTTTTTAAAATTGCTACTGCCAGGAGAAATGCATTTGGCTGATCATCTCCCAAGTCTGCGAGAAACCCAACTGGGCTGGGTGGTTGGTGGGGTTTGTAATGACACAATGTCCGATGCAGTGGTCCATTCACATTCACTTACGCTTGAGGAGTTGGATCGAACTGTCAAGAGGTTCTGGGAAATTGAAGAAGTTGCAAGTGTGGAACCATCCTCGGAAGCTATAGAGTGTGAGCAACATTTT